AAATGATAATTTTTGTGTTAGTATATTAACTTTTATTAATGAAATAATTTTTTTAAAATTAAAACTGAAAAAAATAATAAAATAATTATTTTTATATCATATAAGGATAGAAAGGATAATTATATAATAAAAAGTTATTTTACAATTTATTAACAAAATACTATCCTATTATTTAAATTCATAATCTTTCAAATATATTAAATAAATTAATGATTTATATTCATAATTATAAATCATAATCTGATAACTTCCACAGCTGTAGCTGGCAATTGCACCAAAAGCAAAGCAACTTTTAAGAGAGCAATGAACAAATGAAAGAGAGAGAGAGAGAGTCCTGAGTCACTGTACCTGCTTGTCTGTTCATCAACATCATCCCTATGTCATAATGAAGCTCTCTCAAAACTGTTCTTACAGAGGGAGACACAACTTCCAAGCTCCAAGGAGCTGTTTAAATTACACAAATACGGATAAATGCTATGAATTCATAATTTATATCACACAAATACCAGTACCTAGTAATAAAAAATGTTATGAATTTATAATTTTAATAAGAAAAATGTTTGAGGGTCATAATTTTTGTAATTATAATGGCTCAAAATTGTTAAAACGACGTCGTTTTGGGTGTAAAATATGTCAAAACGACATCGTTTTGACAGTTTTGAGTCATTGTGGCCACAAAAATTGTGAATCTCTAGCATTATTGTTTTAATAATTATAGAGATTCTAAAAATATAGCGCTTGTTTGGTTTGAGTTTGGAAAATGAATTTTAGAAAAAAAATTTCAAAAATTTGTTTGGTTTGAGATTTTTCTAAAAAATTTTCTAAAATCACTTTATCTCTTTTACACATCAATCAATCACTTTTTCTCTCACACATATCTACTCAATTCTCCCAAAATATCAAATCATCCCAAACTTCAAAAAAAAAATTTGTCTCTCAAAATATACAACCAAACAAACCAAAAAAATTTCTAAAACAACTCTTCTAAAATTTTTTCAAAAACAACTCTCCCAAAAACAAATCAAACAAGCCCACAATTTCCACAATTTTTAAAATAATTTAAACGTTAATTCTTAAATAACAAGCCCACAATTTTCACTATCAAACAAGCCCACAATTTTCACTATCAAACATAATTCTTAAAAAAAATTCAAACAAATAATAAAAATTTATCTTAAATGTGAGGGTCTTTCTTTTGGGGAATCTCAAATATTTTTCTTATAATTTATCTTAAATAAATTTATATCGTAAAAATTAAATTAATAAAATATGAAATTTATGAATAAAATAAATTTAAATTATTAATCTTTTTAGATAAATTTTAAATTAATAAGAATAAATTTATAATATTGTTAATATTATATTTACAGGATGAAGTTATTTAATGGTCTTAAGCTCGGTCACGTAATTTTTTAGAAATGTTATAAGTTTATGAAAAAAAATTATAATTTTAAATTAAATATTTCAAAAATAATAAGAATACAATGATTTGTGGTTGATGAGGATAGTTAAAACAAACAAGTGTACTTGGTAAAAAAATAAAACTTTTAAATAAAATAGACTCAATCTGCTCACTATTTTTCTAATCCCATCCAAAATCCAACAAGCTAATCCCCTATTGCGAGGGATTACTAAGCTCGTCGGACTATTACTCCCCCTCCCAAAACACCACCAAACAAGCTGTGGGCCATAGCACTCCAATCCCCTCTCTCACAGGTAAACAAACATGGCCTAAAAGTTTACCGTTCATTTTTTTTTTTCTTTTTTCTTTTTTGAGTTTTTTTATATATATATATATATATATTTTTTAAACAATTTTTAAGATCGCTTATCCAATTGAAATTCTCGTTTGTGTCGTGAAAAACTTTTAAATGTTGCAATGATAATCATATTTCAATATTTTTTTGTTAATAAAAAAATGAATAATTATTTTTTAAATTTCTAAATGAGTATTTGTGGTTAACCAAATTTTATAAAAAAAAAAAAATATTAAAGACAATCCTTAAGACTACTATTTTTTTAAGATGGGCCCAAGACTAGTAGTATGAAAAATGTGTTGAAATTTATAAAAATTTTAAATATATATATATATATATTGAAATTATAAATATTTTATCTTTATAAATGTAAGTAAATTTTGAACAATCTGGAAACCAAAACACAATAATGCAATACAACAACTGGATCAATCACTCTTAGGAGGATCTCCAACTAAACACTCTTAATTACATAATGAAAATATATTTTTTTATTTAAAAATGAATGTAGAATATCTTACTGTTCACTCAAACTCTAACTACAAATTATTATTATCTTCTCTAAGAGTTTCTCCAATCCAATCCTCTCAATTAGAGGATCAAAATAAAAAAAAAAATTTAAAAAAATTATTTAAAAAGTGGATTGAGATTAAAATACTATTCATTTAAATTCCAATCACAAATCTCTATTTTTTTGTACAAAACGAAACAAGAGCCGGTCAACGACCGGAATTTCTAGTCGGTTGTCCTCCTACCTATTTATTTGTGATAATGAATAGCATTTTAGAATGATCTTCTATTTTTTTATCCTCCCTCTAAATATGAAGGACCAATCCGTTCTCCTCCTTCTAAATAAAGATAGATTTAGAAGACGAGTTAAGAATGGAGGATGGTTGGAAATGCTCTAATTGTACGGTCATTTCTATCAAGGTTTCTCACATTTTGTTAATATCTCATCATTACTATTAATATAATTGATGATACATTAATGTATTCATTGTAACATTATTGAATCATATATATATATATATATATTAAGAAAAATGAGATTTCTAATGAAAAGTCCTCTAATACCTCCAAAGTCTTAATCTAAATTTTTTAATTTTTGGTAATTATAAATTTAGTCTATTTCTTACGTGGCTTACTCCTCCTACTTAATCCTTATTTTTTTGAATATTGGAGAGTAAGATGGCATTAGGTGCACCGTGCAGTACCGTTGAATAAATAGTTTGAGAGTTTGTGTGTAAAAGTGATTGATATGCGTTCTTGTCGGTTGATCCAATTATTTTATTGGATTTGTTATTCATTCACAGCAATGAGTAATTTAATAAATAGATTGGCAGGTTTTTTGTTTTTTTTGACATTGTTTTGAACAAATTCTTATAAAATTGCATCATGGGATAGAAAATTATAACGATTTTTCATCTAAAATAGCTCTAAAACATTAATCTAAATTTCTTATTTTTTTTTTTATTTTAAATTTTAGTAAATACACATGGCATAGGAATATTGGCCCATCTAACAATACATATAACTTTAAAAAGTCAATAAAAAATAGTCATTCTAACTCATTTCTAATTTGAAAGTAAAAAATAGTGTTTGGTTTATTTTAGAACCATGATTCCAATCAAAAATTTTAAATTTTAAATTTTAAATATTTTAAAAAATATTTAAAATATTAAAAACAATACAACGCACATTAAAAAAATAAATATTTACAATAAAAAAATACTTATCCTAAAAAAATAAAATTAAGAAAATTTTAAATATTTGAAAAATATAAATCCAAAAAATTTTAAAATACAACTCAAAACTCTTTTCAAAACTCATAACCAAATAAATTTTTTATTTTCAAATATTTATATTTCAAAATATAATTCCACACTCAAATCATGATTCTAAAATTAAACCAAACTGAAAAAACTATTAAAAGGAAATTCCAACGTAACTTTAGTCTTACATAATTTTATATTTTAAAAATATTACTTCTAAATTTTTTGTTATATTTTTAAAGTAATAACACATTAGGTGTCAATATATTTACGACACAGTTATCAATAAAAAATAAAATTTAGCATGACACATATGAAAAGAAAATTACATATATATGTTTAGTGCATGTTTTTACGTTTTATCCGGAATAAGGAGATTTTCTTTTAGGGCGCATATTATTAAAATTTTATAACATAAAAGACATTTAATATTTTAATAATGTCTAAAATCTTTTAAATTGATTCAGAAAAAATTCGATTTCATAGAGAAAATTAGTCTAGAGAAATTTTTTCTTTGACTTTTCCTAGACTTCCCACTGTAAATTTCTCTGGCCTTCCTTATACTTCTCATTCTCCAAAGAAATTTTGGAAATTTCTTTAGCCTTTCCTGGACTTCCCACAAAATTATCTCTCCAGAAAAAATTTGGAAATTTCTCTGACCTTCCTGGCCTATCTTGGACTTCCCACTAACCTTTTGAAATGTATCTATGAAGCAATATCAAACAGAACACAAATCAATTTCCATATCAGTTTAGCAGACATGACAATAGGGCTGTAAATGAACAGAGCTGTTCGTGAACAAGCTCGAGCTCGGCTCGGTAAGAGCTCGTTCGAACTCGGTTCGTTAATTTTTTTTGCCGTTCGAGCTCGAGCTCGTTAAATTTTTAATAAACAAGCCCAAACATTCTAAAGCTCGGCTCGTAAGCTCGGCTCGTTAGCTGGCTCGTTTAATTTTTATTATTTATATATTAAATAATATAAAATTATGTATAAAAAATAAGAGAAATATGTTATTTATATGTTTAAAAAATATAAATGTAAATAATACTTAACTATAGATAGTACATTTATATAATAGTGGTAGTAGATATTATTATTTTAGTAAAATATGGATTTTTTTTTAGTATGCTTATATATATTGTATATATAATTGTATAATCAAAGTTTTAATTATAAATTTAGTCTCACATGCAAGTATGAATTTATAAATTTTTTGGCTCGTTAAGGTTCGTGAACAGGCTCGAGCTCGAGTCGAGCCTAAGCCAACTCGGCTCGAGCTCGGTTCGTTAAATTTTTATTTAGCTCGAGCTCGAGCTCAAGTTCGTTAAAATCTTAATAAAAAAGCCCAAACACACTAAAGTTCGGTTCGGCTCGGCTCGGCTCGTTTGCAGCCCTACATGACAACCATAATCAGTTTATGGCCCTTGTCGCAGTGTCCCTCTTCTCCGCTGGTGAAATAGAATGGTCCCAATCAATTGAGCTTGACCTTGGTGTCACTGTCCTTATGCTCTGCAATTGGACTCGATGTGTTGCAAGTAATGTAGTCTCTCTTCCTTACTTCTACCATCGAATCTTTGTTTCCATCGTAATTCCACACTGTTGCATTGCATTAGAGAGAGATTTTAAAATCAATAGAAATAGACACAGAGACAGAGGCAGATTAAGAATGGAAATGAAGATGGAGGATTGAATTACCGAGAGAATCGCCAATGAGGAAGCGAGAGTTTTGAGCCCATAGATTAAGAGACTCAAATTCAGACAAAACAGTCTTCCGTGTGTTAGTCTTGCATCCAACCAAGAACTCTCTGCCTTCTGAGAAGCTGATGATCATCGTCAAGAAGACCAACACTGAAGAAACCAAATCTCTTGCAGAACCAGCCATTGAACCACCTTAAACACTTCACTGTGAGTGAGTTTTAGAGAGAGAGAGAGAGAGAGAGATGAATGGAGGTCAGATCAGTGAATCAGAGAGAAGGAAGAAGAAATTCTTGGGTAGAAAGAGAAAGCGAGAGAGTGAATTTTCTCTATAATATATGGGTGTAGGTTTAAGGGATCTTAGACATCACAAAATAATATTATAGATCTCTTCTATCGACCTTAGACTAATTTTCCCCAAAAATAACATGTGCCAATTCAGTGCTTAAAAATACATTAAATAATTTTTGAGATGTAAATATAATTTATTGTTGATATAATAGATATTAGACATATTTTAAAAATAAATATATGATTTCTTAATTAAAATTTAAATTTTTTGATAAATATACTAAAATAATATATTTATATGTATTTTCTATTTATGTTATAATTTTTTTAAAAAAAATATACTTACCAGTTAAAAATTAAATGAATATATTGGCCAAGTAACTTATGGATTGGATATGAACCAAGATAATTCTTTAAAGATTATGCTTGAGCCAAGAATTGTTGTCATAAAAATTGTCTGAGGCAATTTTTAGTATTTAATTAAATACTGAAATCTCCAAATTAACTCATACCTTCACAGCTTGAGAAACAATGATATAATGTAAACATAAAGTTCAAATATATTATTATCAAATATTTTTTCTAATTAACCGATCAATTTTTTAGTTATAATATTGTTCATAATTTAGGGCAATCTGATATTAGATTGTTTTTCGTACATAAACATAGCTAACTATTCATTAAAGGGCAAAGAGATTTGTTTAAAGTACATATTATTTTCTGTGATTTAGAAAATTATAAATATTCATTTGTTAAAAAAATTTATTTGACAGAATTAACTAAAACAAAAATTCATAATTGCTTTCATATACAATAATAAAATTACTTAAATTATTAATTGAAACATATTTCTAACATCATTAAAAACTATTAATTGATTTGATGATTTATTAATAAAAAGAGCGATTTGTTGTGAAATTAGAAATCTCAAGGGGTGGAATGTAATTTTCAAAATTATAAGAGGCAATTCGTATTTTAATCAAATCTCAGGAGTGTATTTGTAATTTACCCTTCATTAATAGTTCTAAACATAAATATATATTTATATATATATTGTTTGGTAAACTATCAATAGATCCTCATAATTGAACTTAATTTCTATCAAATCCTATTGAAAATACGGTTTAATAAAATCGTCACTAAAAATTATCAATTAGTGACTTTTTTTGTTACGATTTTTATAAATTGTCGCTAAAACTTACAATTAGTGATATTTTTCTGTGATGAATTTTTCAAATTGTTGCTGAAAGTTAAAAATTAATGACCTTTTTTGTATTATTTTTTATAAATTGTCGCTAAAATTTATAATTAGTGACATTTTTTTGATAAAATTTTCAAACTGTCATTGAAAATTAACAATTAGTGACATTTTCTAATAGTGTTTGTTAGGTTTTTTCTTGACAATCCCGTTTGAACAAAACTCCTTTCAGTTGTACTTATTTTCGCACTTTTTATTTCAGTGAGGCTATGAGTGTTTAGATGCGAATCCAACCCGAATTGTGTCTTGCAGAGAAGTTTGTGATGTTAATGCTTTCAAGATTACCACTTCGCTGATTATGACGGGGATTGAGCTACCCGGTCAGCTCGCGGGGGTCGAGGGGGCAGCGTCCCTTGGCGGGTCCGGGGCAACGCCACGGCGGGGTCGAAGGGCAGCGCCTCTGAAGCAAAATGCAAAAATGCATTCAAAGTTGTCTCCCCGCTCAAACGTCCATTCCCCTGCTTGAGCGGAGAATGGTGATTTCCAGAAGTATGCGTGTCTGCAAATTCCCCTGCTTGAGCGGAGAATGGTGATTTCCAGAAGTATGCGTGTCTGCAAAAATACTGTAATCCGTGTTTTCACGCTCGAGCATCGAAATCCCCGTTTGAGCGTCAATTCCCACGCTCGAGCGGACCTCGCGATTTCAGATTCTATAAATTCGCAAGTTGCTTCAAATCTAGGATTGCTTCTCCAGATCTTCTTCTTGGGTTCTAGGGTTTATATCTGGGGATATTTTGCTAGTTTTCTTTGATGTTTTGATTGAGTATTCAACTCATGGTTTAAAGAGTATACATCAAAGGATTATTTGTTTGTTCTATACAAAAGAGAGAGTTGTTCTTCGGTGGATTCTGAAGAATTCGAGCCTGAAGCTTTGGTGGATTCTGGAGTGGCTCATTGTCAAGACAATTCTGAGGTGAAGACGGGGTTGGAAGAGGCACATAGGGTTTGGTTCAATTCGGGCGTAGATTCGTTAGGTAATTGAGAGTATACCTGTGTAATTCCTTTATGTCTTTTTAGTGGATTGTTTTGTGACTTTTGCCCGTGGTTTTTTTATCATAATTGGAGGTGTCCAATTGTGATTTTTTCACGTTAAAATCGTTGTCTCGATTTGTCTTGATTGTTTGATTGAGATTGTTTTATTGCTTACAATTGATACATAATCACAAATCAATATCTAGAGGATTTCTAGAATTTTCAATGTTTGATGAAAAATGCTATTAATTATCATAGGACCTATTAGACAATAAGTCCACCTACTAAAACCAACATGTAAATCCCTTATTTTTAACCCAAGTTTAATTTTTTTTAATAAATACACACATAAACGTGAAAATGATTTGATTTTTATTATAAAGAATACTTCCAGATATCTATTAATCAATTTAATACTGTAAATTAATAGATCAAGTGATTCATAAGTTGGGCATATATCAAGACAATATTTTAACGATTAAGTTGACAAAAAAGTTAAATCGACTAACTTCTAAGTCACTTTGTAATGTCTAGTCACTACAAGAAAAGTAAGCTTAAAAGACGGAAGCATTTGCGACGGCACACTTGCCATCTCAAAAAGTGACTTTTTGAGACGGTACAATTTGCCGTTGCAAAAAAAGTGAGTTTTTGCGATGGCACAACTTGCCGTGGCGAAAAAAGGTGAGTTTTTGGGACGGCACTATTTACTGTAACAGAAAAATAGAGTATTTGCGACAGCAAAAAATGTTGTCTCGAAAAAGGAGAGTATTTGCGACGGCAGATATTGCTGTCTCGAAAAAATAGAGTTTTTGCGACGGCACCAACTGTCGTCGCAAAAAAAAAAAAAATGTGTTTTTTGCCACTGTAATAGGTACCATTGCAAAAAAAAAGCAAAAAAAAAAGTTAAAAAAAAATATTGTGGCTTTGAGACAGCTTCATAAATATACAGTCACAAAATGGTTTGAATAAATGCAACGTTATTTTTCTGTCGAAAAAAAATTAAAAAAAAACAACCTCGTCTTACTCTTTTGATATAACATTTCTCTCTTCACCCATTTTTTTATCTTCCTGTCTCTCTGTCTCTGTCTCTTCTCATTTTCTCTTTCACTCATCACTCTTCTTTCTTTGTCTATCTGTCTGTTTGTCTCTCTCTCTGTGTGTCTTTCGTTCATCTCTCTTCTCTCTATCTCTCTCATTTGTCTTTTCTCTCTGTCTCTCTCGCTCATCTCTCTTCTCTCTATCTCTTTGATTTATTTTCTCTCTTTGTCTCTCTCGCTCATCTCTCTATCTCTCTCTTCCCGCTCATCTCTCTTTTCTCTCTGTCTCTCTCGTTCTTCTTTCTTCTTTCTCTATCCCTTTCTTTTTCTATGTCTCTCTTGTTCATCTCTTTTCACTCTCTTTCTCTCTTTTTTTGTTTATCTCTCGTTCATCTCTTGCTTCTCTCTTTTTTTCTGTCTCTGTCTGTCTGTCTCTCTCTCTCTCACTCTCACTCTCACTCAACACCCTTCTCTCTATCTTTTTCTCTCTGTCTGCATGTCTATTTGTCTGTCTGTCTGTCTGTCTCTCTCCCCCTCATTGTGTTCGCCTTGCTCACTCTCCCCTTCCATTCTTCTCTATTTACCAAGCACCTTTTCGATTTATCGAGACACTACAAGAAAATGCACTTTTAGTGACCACTTTGTCTCTCTCTCACTCATCACTCTGTCTCTGTCTCTGTCTCTCTCTATCTTTCTTCTCCATCTGTCTCTCACACATCTCTCACTCACAACCCATCTCCTCTACCACCTTCACCACTACAGCAAATGCCATTCCACTACCACCACTACTACCACTGTTTCCACTCCACCTCTACGACTATCATTACTACCATCATCGCCACAATTCCACTACCACCACTACTACTACCATTATCTCTCCTCCACCACCATTACTCAATCTCCTCTACCACTACCACAACTTCATCAGTAATCTCCTTCGCCATCACCACCACCACAACTATCACCTCTTATCCACCACCTTCACCACTACTGCCGCTCTCTATCCTCTACCACAAAAAATTAGTTCCTGATTTTTAATAACAAAAAAAATGGGTCGCAGAAAAATATTTTTCATTAACCACAAAAAATTAATTTTATTTTAATGAAAAATATTTTTCATTAAAATATTACCCCTACTTTACCAAATAAAAAAATAATAATAATTTTTTATTCATTAAAATAAAAATGAAACAAATAAATTTTCAACCTTAATAACTAAAAGAAAATGAAAAATCAAAAAAAAAATTCACTAACTATAAAAAAAAATTATTTTAACAAAAAGTAAATTTTTTGGCGACGGCAACCTCCGTCGTGAAAAAGAAAAGAGTCGTTTTATTATTTAAATATTCATTTGTGACGGAAATTAGAAAAAAAAAAATCAAAAAAATTTCCATTCTCCCCCTTCCTTTTCCGTTCCCGCTTGGGTTCCCCCCAACCCAAATCCAAAATCCCCAATCTCAAAAATCCTCTCCCCCCCTTCTTTTCCATTCCAGTTGTTTAAAATATTATGCTTTCCACGACGTCCAATTACTGTCGTGAAAGGGACGATCGAAAAAAAAAATAGCGCCAAAATAAATATTTTGAGCGCCAAAAAAAAAAAAAGAAAATTAAAAAAGAAAGATAGAAACA